CTACCGAACTCACAAAGAGATTAATTACTGAAAATAACACATAAAATATAAAGTTTTTTGTAAGAAACGTTTGATAACTATTTTGAAATTATAAAGATTTCACAAGTGAAATTTCAAAATTTTGTGATGCATAAAAGTATTTTTAATCTTAAAATGAATATTACTTTGCATGATAGATAAGCAACATGTGAAAAGAAAAAAAAAGACACGAGAAAAACATTGCTTTATAAACCTTAAGGCTTAATAAAAAAAAAATGTATATTTTGCAATGTTTACTGATAATCTGCCAAATTTTAACATTCACTTACTAATTTAAAAGTTACAGGATGAAAACTATAAGAAGCACAAAATGGTTAAGAGGTCAGTCCCAGGGGCTTAGCCCATGCTGAAAGAGTTAAACCAAGATCCCTTTCCTTCATAACACTGTTAAGGTTATTCCCATCCAAATTATGATAACCCACATGCATTGTCTTGCATTTATTATAATTAAAACCCATCTGCCATTTATTTGCCCAACTCACTAAATGATCAATCCTTTTGTAAATCAGCAGCATCTTCATCACAGCTTGCAACACCCGACATTAATATCAACTGCAAATTAAAAGTAATTTATTGACTATTCCTTCATCTATGTCATTGATGTAAATCAGAAAGTGCAAAGGTCCTAAGACTGAGCCCTGAGGCATTAATCCAGTTTCATTGAACTCCATTTGTAACAACCCTATGCTTTCTTCCATCCAGCCACTCTTCTATCCAATTTGCTAACTTATCCCTCACACCTATAGAGAAATTTTTTTACAAGCCTTTTATGTGGCACCTTGTCAAATCCAGATACACCAAATCTACACTATTACCCACATCTACACAAACAGTAACCTTTTCAAAGAATGCCAAAGGTTTGTAAGGCAAGATTTTCCCTTAGTGAAACCAGGTTGACTATATAATAAAATTCTGAACTTTATTAAATGATGTTACAAAGCATCTTTTAACAGACTTTCCAAAACTTTTCCCACAACTGATGTAAGACTAATGGATCTATAATAACTGGGACAATTTTTAT